TGTCTGTGAAGGGTCGATTATATGCTGCGGCAGTTCGGCCAGTTCTGCTCTAGTCGTAGAAACCTGGCCATTACGAAAACAAGATAAATATAGACTGTCGGTATTTGAACACCGCTGTCTACGCAGCGTTGCACGAATCTGGTGGGGCAGCCGGACGATCAGTGCTGAAGTCAGGCGCAGAGTTTTAGGTAACTGCGGTCGCCCATTGGAGCAAGTGGTCGACCTTGATAGATTTCGTTTGTTGAGGCATGTGTAACGCATGTCACGAGATCGATGTTTGCCGAGGCAGATAGTGGTTAGAATAAAGCCAATGGTGATCAAGCTAAGACCTGGCTTGAGGGTATGAAATCCCCAACCAGGAGACTAGGTCACATGAGTGCTGTTAGGCTCCCTGCTTGGGGACCTCGGGATGATCGTAACCGATAGTTAGAGATACTGAGTGATATGGCTGGGTGTCGTAACCAGTGGCGTTCGTGTGTCAGTCTACTGAACTTCCCAATTTTTTTCCGGAATCCTACTTTAATCTTTTCTGTTTTCCTTTTATTCGTCATACAAATGGGCAGCCCCGATGCAGCAACCAGAAGCGTCGCACGGAACTGCTTTTATTTGTGTGTTTAAACTGGAACTGAAACCTCACAGGTGTAAGGGAAACACCTAGTCATCTGTCCTATAGGCTTCCTCTGCTTTCTGGTTGTTTGGATATGCAACTTTGTCTAGTGTTGTATACGTTGGATTATATATTTTTCCTAATGTTTTTACTGGCTTCTTCTCCATGGACGATGCCAATACTCGATTAATCTGTTGGAAAACAGGTTGAAGACTAGCTTTGTGCCAGCTGATTATTCTCTGTACTTTGTCATCCAGTCTGATCTAATTTTTCAGTTTGGCATTGCTTTTTAATTTGAATATAGGGTAAGCGATATATGAGTATTTGTGTAATCTAATCGACTCGCATCCGGTCTCTCTCTCTTCTAGGGGCAAACAAAGCCAGATGAATCAGATAATTCACTGACCCCGTTCACGGCTCTCGAATCTTTCGATGCCCATCTGTCCGTGCTTCGCCGACACATCCAGGACTGGTTTTCCGATCTGGATCGACAGGTTCGCTACGCACTGATGACCACTGAAGGTCTGATCAAATTGATCACATTTTTCGGACGGGCACACGCCAGTGGAACTCTGCTTTCCCATATGATCACATTCCTCAATGACAAGGTAAGTGTTTGATGACGAGATTGCACATCGAGGTGGTTGGTTTAACGAAATAAGTTGAGAACATCTCAGTCTACACATTTTCTAAAGACGCTTGTCACACGACAGGCTAAGATTAATCGTTGCGAAAACTGAAACTGAGCGTGTCGTCATCCTATGTCGCCGCAATGGTTTTATGTACCAGCATCTGTTAGTTTACCATTTGTGGTATCCGTGAAATCCACAGCATTGTGACAGAACCCGAATAGGATATGGGGTTTATAATGAATTTATCGCTTAAAAACATGAGATCGTGTGAACTGCAGTCAGTCTATCGATTCTGGTGTTGCCTGTAAGGCGACGTGCGCCATCATGTGACGCTAGAATCGTACTATCCATTTCCGTGAAACACTAACCATCATCTCCATCCAATGAGTTCTATAGATTAGTGCTCTTATCTTGAACTGTCACTCAACTCCTCTGTTTTTAGACATCCTACATTAACTTTCTAGCTTCTTGCTCCCAAAACAAGACTGGTCTTCCCTACTCCCGTTGATCAGATTCAATAGAAGGCCATTTACCTTGTCAGTGGTGCGGTACTCACCTTTTTCACATTCCCTTGCTTATTGCCTGCAATCTGTTCCCTTGTCCCTCTCTTATCTCTATTACCATGGTTTGTCTTGAGGCCTACTGTGCTTTTGTGAATGTTAATGTTA